GATTTTTTAAATCCAAACTATATTTTTTAAACTATTTTTGTGGAGCAAGTCTTAAAATTAGGAAAATCACACCCAACCTTTCCTCTTATACACCATTTAGCCCTCTTTCTGCGCTTACCCATGGCACCTGAATCATGACAGAAGTGTCTTCATCATGACAGCTTCCCTACTAAACAGGAACTAGCATCATCTTCAGCTCATTATCACCTTCCCGGAATTTACCTGTGCCACCTAAGCCAGAAGCATAATTGAAATGTTTTCAGAATGACATGTTCCCTGCTAAACAGGACCAGCCTGTAACTTTGTGTCTCCGCTATAACTCCTATCGCCCATTTTAAACTTCAAGACTTTAACAAATCAGCTTCCAAACTGCATCACCCCCCACAACTGAAAACGACATTATTTTCCAGAGCAGATATAAAATAAAAGGTTCTCTGTTACACTGTACTGCTAAACACAGAATACAATTAGACATGTCCTTTTCTTAAAGGTCCTCTCATTTCTTGATGTGGTATCTCTACAGTTCACCACTTTAGTTAAAATTCTCTCTCAGGAACCTCCTTTGGAGGTGGGTTTTTTTGTTGTAAAAGGCATACATTAAGTTTGAAGCCAGTTTTAAGAACCTTCTTCAGGTCAAGGTATCCTGACTGCTGAAACCCAAGGATGCTTGCTCAACAGCATTTAGAAGGATCAGCCTGTTACGTAAAGCTTACAACTACTTCCTTCTTAAAGAAAGAACCTCATCTCAGATGCATCTGGTGACGGAAAGACGAGCCTGAATAAACAAGTCATCAACTTCCTGCGAATCCTTATCTTTACCTACTCTCCCAAAAGCCCAATGGAAAAAACCTTCAGTAACATTCCCAATGTGGAAGCTGGCCAGATTTCTAGTAAGGCTAAAGAAGTTCTTCCCACACTGATCATTTGAAAGAGACGCAAAGGGACATTATATCTTTATCCAGTATTAGGATGAGACTCATAGGCAACACCTTTGTCTGTCTCTCTCATTCCCCCCACCTTGTTACTGAAAGAAAAGAGGGGAGAAGGGAAGAGACACAAAAGAGTAGCCTTCAGCCTAATGGCTCCCATCCTTTCCGTTGCTGATATGTTTTTCTGGTTGATTGACATCCTACTTTAAATTAGGATGTTAATCAGGGGAAATCAGTACTTTAAAATTCAGGTGTTTTACAGAACAAGTAAAAACAATCAGTCATGACATGGTCCCCACCTAGAGCACTTTCTGTCTAATTTTAGGGGACTAACCAGTGAAGAAACAGAGGAGAATAAAGTAAAGGAAAACTAGAATTAGATAAGACAGCTGACATGGATTTGTCAAGAACAAGTGATATTAAGTCAATCCACTTTCTTATTCAACAGGGTAACTAGCAGGCCACAGAAGCGCTCACGACCTGTCAAATTCCAAGGAATCTGAGGATTCTACTAAATACCTTGTCACAAAGACACAAAAAAGGAAAGGAAAAGGGTAACTATCATAATAGATGGGGGCAGAAAGAGCAAGCAGCAGCACTACTGAAAAAGGGTTCGGTGGATTAAAAAGTAAGTATGACTCAATGATGTGACTCTTCTATTAAAAAAAAAAAAGGCGGTGGCAAAGGTTATTCTGGGACATATTAACATAAACCATATGGACAACAAGGGATGTAATTATTCCTTTGAACTCAGCACTAGTGATGCCTCAATTGAAGTACTATGTCCACTCTTGGCACCAGGCTTTGAGATTTGGCAATATTGTACAATATAAGATTGCTGGGGAAGAGAGAGTATAGATAAACTGCCATCACTGCTTTTACCTATTGCATCGGTGAGAATGCATGGCATGATTAAGGAACCAACTGCCTGTTTATATTAAAAAAACTCCCACTTGTGTAGCTGCACTGAAGTTTGGGAGAAAAAATTTCTAGTGAAAAAGGTCACATTAATCACCCTGGTGAGACTATATCAGTGATTCTCAACTAGGATACCACAGCACCTGTGGATGCCTGAGATCTTTTCAAGGGTGCCACAGGATGCCATGCAATTTTAGCACTGTTAGGTGTGGTAACATGATTCACAAGATAAACCCAGAGTTTATTTCAAATAGAAATTCAGTGTTAAAAACATTCTGACCTGTTAAGGTCTGTGTTTTTTGCAACTGAAGAACTGCGCTATTATTTTTCTGTTGTCCAAGAGCTGACATTTTCCAAGGGGTTTTGAGTCTATTGAGGATTGCTTTGAATTCAAAAAGGTTGAGAATCACTGGACTACATCCTTTCCTTGTATTTCTAAACATACTACTCATCTCACTCTAGCTCTCCATGTTGCTCCACTACCTTGCTCTGCAAGGATCATGAAGCTCTACATTTAGTTCCATCCTCACTGTTCTCAAAACAAATATTATTAGGATGCAGACAAGAAATGAACTTCCTCACTATAAAAGCACAGAATCAAATTCTTTATTTCATGGAAACTTTCTTCCTTGTCTTCTCTCAGTTTTTCTTCTGCCCCAATACCCCTCTCCCTATCAGTGTACTATGGAAAAACCAGAGAATATGGCATCAGTTAGCTCTCCCATTATCATCTGCCCTCATTCTCTGCTGGTGACACTTGGAAAGGTTTATTATCAAGCAGTGTCCACATATTTGCATACTGAAATACTATTGGGTAAAGTGTAAGCTTTATGTCAACTGAAAACACAAATGTTTGATTTAATCAGTTTGTGATGGTACAGACAAAAATCCAGCTCAAATGGTCAGCTAGTCATTCAATTTAGAGGTGCAGAAGTACAATGGTCTATGCACACATAGAATCAACTATACAAAATACTGATTGCCTAGATCAGAATTTAGTTCCCAGAAGCTGAAATGAACTAAACTGGAATTATCAAAACCAAATCAATATACTCTGGACATTTAAGTTTCTTTCTTTATGGCTTTACTACTTTGTATTCATCTGGAGTTTTTAATCTGACATTGCTATGGCACCTGCCAAAATATAGGCTGTGGCAAGCTGAAATGTCTGCCTATTTTGTGTCCTTTGCTATTAAATTTGCAACAAATGATAGCAGGTGACTGTACACTTGACTGCTTGCTATCCTGTGGTGCAGCTGCTATGCAGAAGGCAGCACATGTAAACATAACATGACTGTGCCTCCAAAAGAGTGCCTACGTGCTGCATATGGCATCTAGGCAGCACTTTCACTACCCCCCTTTGTACATGCTATTGCTCAAACACATTAGTGCACAGTTAAACTAACATTTATTTACTAAACTAGCTGGTAACAGTCTAATTGTAGTCTGAACAGCCACAGTTGTCTTTAAAGAAACAACACCTTCACATTGGTTTACCGATTATCTTAAAAACAGTCATGTCACAGCACCTTCTCCTATTATTAACTTGATAATCTCTGAGAGCCTTTAGACAAGTGTAGCCTTAATATACTAAATGCTGATTTCCAGGGAGGGAAAAAACCTAACAGTTTTTTTTGTCTATACACCCACACATTTCCATAAAATGCTGGTTAAGAGGCTCATCATTCCACAATCATCTCTGAACATGAAATAGATAGCTGGGTTTTCCTATTTGCTAGGGGTTACGAAAAGCATAGACAAAGGTCAAAAAGAGCTTTTTGGACTGCTAGAGCAGAGTACCTTAAATCTGCAAATATTGACTTTGATTTTATCTATCTTTTAGTTCATCTTGGCAGTAGGCACCTCTCAAACACATTGATGTGATCTTAAATATGCAGATATGCTAAATGCAAACAGAGGCACTATGCAAACAGACTGTTCTATAGTAGGCAACTTTAAGAAAAAATAACGTTCTTTTGTTTCTCACTAGCACTAATCTGTTTCTTAAAAAGCACCAAAAAAGCCCTGTGTACAGCTGATCTAGCTGCGCTATGTATGTTTAACAGATATTCACAGAATAGATGATGTCAGTCACAGTTTGTGGAAAAACACTAACACACATCACTTCCAGGTCCATATCAGAAAGTGTAATAACAACCTTAATTAAAAGCACTTAGTACATATTAGTATTTTAACACCTTAATATCTAGACTATTTAAAAAGGTTTCTCACACAAAAATAAGTTCATATTGCAGGCTAATCAAAACAACAATAAATAAATACCACAGAATAAACATTGCTATCAAAATAAAAGGAACCAGGAAAACACCTGAAGGAACTTGCACAAGTAGTTACACACATGGGTCTTTAAACTATTTAAAAGTGACAAATGATGTAGTTTCTCTCTCAGGCTTCCTGGTTACAGCAAGGTACATTTTGACAGCAATAAACGCCGGCTAAGCTAAATATATGATCCAAAACAGCAGCCATGACACACTTCCAACTCTTGGGGCATCAGCAGCTGTTGCTATCCCGAACACAAGAGCTAGAGACAGAAACATACACATCTCAGTCCACCTTATTTTGCCTATCAATTTGCGATTTCATAAAAAGACAATGGATATACAAACGACTGTGAAACAGAATATTCCAGCCTGCCGCTTACTACACAACTGCTTTGAAATTTAGAAAAACCCTCACATGGGCTTTTTTTTATTTTATTGAAAGCGAGTTCTTTAAAAGTTCTCGATGCGTTACGAGGCGTTTGTGGGCAGCACCGAGCTGCGCTCACGCACCTCTGACTTATGCGGCAACCGCCTGCCGGGTCCGCGGCAGGGGCGCGCTGGAGTGTTGCAATGCCACGAGAACAGCGCGATGGCAACCGCGGCCGACAGCCCCCGGGCCGGTGGGATTTCCCAGAGCAAAAAGTTCAGCCACAGGACGGTCGGTCACCGGCAGCGATGTTTCCCTCCCCCACCAATGCAAACGCTGCGGATCCTGGATCCAGCGGAGGCGACCTCCCCCCGTAACCCTCCATTCCTCGGCCGAGCTCGGCGCGGAGTCGGGACAACACAAGCACGACCCCAATTGTTACACGCCAGGCAGCTTCTAAAATTAGCAACAAAGCGTCTCCCCACCGAGCCGAGCCTTTACCTCGTTCCGGCTTCATGGTGGCTCCCAGCCGGCTTCTCCGCCGACCCGTGGGAGAGTTTCCGTGCTCCTGCGGGGCTGCCTCCAGCGAGGCTGATCGGAGTTGCGTTGTTTTGTCACGTAAAGAGTCAGTCAAGCCCCCGCCGGGGCTCCCCGAGGCGGCAGGGCAGCGCAGGGCAGCTGGCGGCCAGGCCTCCCTCCGGCGCTCACGGGACAGCTCCGGGACGTGCCCGCGCGTCCTTCCCCGGCCCGGCGCCGGAACCGGGGCAGGGGCCAGGGCAGGGCTATTTATAACCTGCCAGGGCAAATCCCACAACAACAAAGCCCAGGCTCAGCCCCGACGGCCGGAGCCTCTGAGTCAGCGGCGCCCCAGGCTCGGCCGGCCCCGGCCCGGGGAGCCCGCCCCTCGCTCCGGCTCCGG